AATACTATTATTTTATGGCCAAAACAAGTTACTGAAAACAGTTTTATATTTTTAAGCTGTAGAATAATGGAAGACACTAAAACTAGCATATATCTAAATCTTCCCTCCCTCTGCTAGAAAAATCCCTTCCTCAGTTCCCAATTTGAAGAACTCTTACATCTCTATAGTGACTGACCATCCTCTGAAGATATCAAGAAAGCTTGTCACTTGCTGGGGCAATTGTTACTCAACAACAATGTCCATCCAGACAGTTGATTACTCGGAAGATTAGGGCTGAAGACCCCAAATTAAGAATTCAATAAACTGGGGCAGCTAGATGGTGCAGTGGATAGAGCTCCTGCCTTGGCGTCAGGAGGACCCGAGTTCAAATCCGGCCTCAGACACATAACACTCACTAGCTGTGTGACCCCAGGCAAGTCACTTAACCCCACTGCCTCATAAAAAAAGAATTCAATAAACATTTATTAAGCATTTCTTGTGTGACTCAAGGGAGATGCAAAGTTTAGCGACAAAGATCCAGTCTCTACCCTCATGGAGTTTATAGTCTTATAGAGAGATTATTTAACTGACATCATGGGATTATAGAGCTCATTCTACCTAGTAAAACCACAACCAAAAGGCCTGGATGGGACAGGTTTGGGGTTCATTTCTAAGAATCTATCTAATTCAGCCCCATGGGAGAGAAATTAGACTTCTGTAAACTTAAGAAGCTCTCTCCAGGTTGAAACAATGGAGAAGAGGTTGAGAAACATCTTCCTAATCTGGTTTCTGCACCTCCCTCTTTGCCACCATAATAGCTAACATCACAGCAATCCTAGAAGGTGTTGGCACTCTTATTCCCACTGTACAGGTTGGGGAACGTCAGCTGAAAAAGGATAAATGAAGAATCTAAGCAAGATTTGAACTCAGGCCTTCCTGACCTCCAAGTCCAGAGACCTTAGCTACTGTATCGCCTAGCTGCTTCAAAAAGACCACAGTTGGGGAGGGTGGGACAGTGTGTAGTGCTGGCATGAACCTGGCCTCAGAGTCAGAAAGTCTATGTGTATCCTAGCTTATCAGCTTCCTAATTGTGCAACTAACTATTGGCAAGTCACTTCCGCTCTCTGGGCCTCAGTTTCCTCATCTACAAAGGAGGGGGGAAGGGAGGGCATTATTACTTACACTACATCCCTCAAAGATTTTTGAGGAAAGCACTTGGCAAATCTCAGAACACCTAATTCTTCAGTACCCAAGAAGAGCTGAGGGCCACAACAAACTTTGACTGTGTAAGGGGCAGCTAGGTGGAGCAGTGGATAGAGCACTGGCCCTGAAGTCAGAAGGACCTGAGTTCAAATCCAGCTTCAGACCAAACACTTAACACTTACTAGCTGTGTGACCCTGGGCAAGTCACTTAACCCCAATTGCCTAAAAGTAAAAAAAACAAACAAACAAACAAACAGAAATAACGTACAATTGAGTTACATCCTACCCCAGAACCATCTTCATGTGATGGATCTCAGTGGGTAACAGTTGTAAGATGGGGGAGAGAAGCTGGAACCAAACATTAGAGGAATAAGAGCAAATCCTATCTCTTCCGCTATGGCCTCAACGTTGGTGGGTTTGCTTTGCACAGGTTTAGGGCATTTAAATCTGCCCCATCCAGATACCCCCTGTCTCTCTGCTATTTCACCTGGAGGCTCCAATTCCTCTACCCTCTGGGCAGGACTACTTCTGGTCACGCTGCACACTTAGGTCAAGCAGTGGCTTTCTACAGCACTGTCAAGAAGGGCAGATCACTTCATCTTCACCAACATCATGGGAGTAGTAATACTTGTATTCCCCACCTCTCAGTTCCTGTGATGAGACGAGAATTGCGTTGGCCAAGCTCTGTAAACCTGGGAAGCTGTTATTCAAGTCTTGGTTTAACCTTGTCTTCATCTCCCACTCTGACCTATGACATCAACAGATTTCAGTCTCTTTCTCTAAAAACATGGCTATTTTCCTGTCCTTTTTGGACCTGTTGCTATCTGTGGATGATGCCTGCAGCTGCCTCTGAATTTCTGCCTTTACTTTGCGCCCTATGGTCCACAGCTCTTCCTGGGTACCACCCAATCAGTTGAAGGTTCTCTCCTACCTTCTGCCCCACCTCACACTCTGGGAGCATTATTTTATCCGAATGTAAAAATCAGTATGGGAGAGGGTGCCCCAAATAACTTTTGCTACAACCTCAAAAACATTTCAGATTCCACACACCATCCCTACCCTGGGTCTGAAGAGTTGCATCCACAAATGTTTGGTGGAAAGGAGAGTCAGGGGAGATGGTGCAGAGGTCAGTAGATTGCTTGGCTTGCCGGGGCGTCTTTCCCAGCCACTCAAACACGAGGCTCAGAATCAGAGGACCCATGAATCCTGCTGTGCCATTTCCCATCTGTATGACGTCAGGCAAGGCATCACCTCTCCTTGCCTCAGTTGCCTCATCTGTAAAATGACATTGAAGGTCCCCTCAACCATGACTTCCTGCTTTAAGGCTTCCCCCACATTGAACAGTCTGTGATTCTGCGTTTGTCATCATCCCTTATTTTCTCTGACTGAGGGCAGACCACCCTCAGACTTTGATGGTGTTAGATGTGAAAAGGATCTTGAAGGTTAGCCAGTCCAGGTGCCTCATTTTATAGGACACAGGGAAGTGACTTTTATCTAAGAGGCATGATTGGAACCCAGGTCTCCTAGGGCTAAATCAGTACTCTTTGCCTGCACATGGGGTGGTGGCTCACACAGTCTTAATTTCCCTTGAGAAAGAAGAAATGGGTTATTCCGATCAAGTATCCCTGCCTACATGTCAGGCATGTAGCAGGGAAGGGTTCAGAGATCTCTGCATAAATGCCAGAAAACTTGATCAGCTTAGCTCAGCTTAGGTCTGGGGTGGAGGCAGGATGGGGGGGGGCAGTGGAGGAAGAGACAGATTCAGTAAACAAAGTTTGGGGCATGGTTTGACATGTACTTAGTACAACAGGGAATGAGAACTAAGATGTTGAAAGCTGGTGGAGAATGTGGGTGAGATCACCGGACTTACAGATCACCTGTAAGTCACTTTCTCTCTGGTTTGTTTCCTTCTCTGTAAAATCAGGATATTGGCCTAGATCATTGGTGTCAGACTCAAACAAGAAACAAGCAGCCTGCTGACTTAGAAAATCACAAATTAACATTATCTATATTTTATTATATTTTTCCTTTGTTAAACATTTTCCAGTTACACTAGTTTGGCACCTCTGGCCTAGATGGTCTCTAAGGTTCTTTGCCAGGCTAACCTATGTCCTATGTCTGAGAGTCCCTTCCAGTGCTAATATGCTATGCTTTATAAGCTCTCCCATGTGACGGAGAATCCATCAACTGTCAACAGCAATGATTCTTTGAACTCGTGGTCAAATCAGAAGACCTTCTACCAGAAAAGGAGTTTAATGGCATTGTTATTTCTCCTTAACTTCAGGGTCAGAATCTATACTTAGAGGCAAGATGTTAGTCTTCCCCTTACTATGCTTTATGCCAGCTAAAACATATAAAAGCACAGCCCAGTCAAATTTGAGTCAGAGCAGCTGGGAAGAAATGATCTTTGCTTGTGGTGGGAACTGCAAATGGGTAGGACTGTAGCCCTTACATTTGTAATGATCAGGCTTCTTGACTGGACACTTGCAAACAAGGTAGAATTAGGGCAGAAGTAATGACCATGGTAGGTGGTGAGAAAACCCTAGAGGGTGATCAGTTCTGAACAGGACCCTCTTAGATTTGGGTCAATGCATACCCAGGGAGAGGATGCCAAAGGCAAGATGGAAAGTCTGTGTGTGGCAGTCAAGAATGTAGAAGCAAGGTAACTGTGAGTGAGGGGGCTATACAGCCCCAAAGCTTCTATTGGTCTCGATGACCTAAGGGATATCTTGGGTTTGTATTCACAAGCTCCGTAATAACAGCCTGTACTGTTAGGTGGTGAAATGGATAGAGCACTGGACTTGGAATCAGGAAGACTCATCTTCCTGAGTTCAAATCCAGCCTCAGACAGTAGCTGTGTGACCCTGGGCAAGTCACTTCACCCTGTTTGCCTCAGTTTCCTCATCTGTAAAATGAGCTGGAGAAGGAAATGGCAGACAACTCCAGTATCTCTGCCAAGAAAACTCCAAATAGGGTCATGGAGAGTCAGACACGAGTGAAACAACTCAACAACAGTGTTTTGGGTCAATTTCCCCTAAGTGGCAGTAAAGGGTCCTGGTTTAAAAAAAAAACTAAACTAAAAAACTCAACCTTGATAGTCCAGGTTTGGCCTGGTAAGGTATTTCTGGTTGGTGGCAATAGTACAGAGATAATGAAGGGTCACTCCTCACCAGTTTTGAAGGACCAGGGAGAAGCATAGGAACAATTTTGTAATGACTGGTCCTTCCACTCCCCCAGGTTGAAATCAGAATATGCTGCTATGTGCAAGGAAATGTGCTAAGTACTAAGACTACAGAGACAAACATAAAAAAACCTGTTCCTGCCCTCAAAGAGTTTATCTTCTACCAGGGACATGGAACAGGTGAATAGCTAAACAGAGCTTAAAGAGATTGTATAATACAGGACACAGGTCACCACCAGCTCATCTCTTCCTCTCTGGGTCCTCTGTCTCTCTCTGCATATATAAATTTTGTAGAGGAAGAAACCAAGTCTCAGAGATTGGCCTTTCTCGCATGGTAAAAGTAGGATGTGAACCCAGGTCACTGCCAAACTCTATTATATCATAATGTCTTTCGATGCTAGAGCTAAGAGGGACCTTGAGACCCCAAATCCATCTACCCCTTCACCCCCCCCACTCCTGCTACACACACACTTTACAGAGGGGAAACTACAGCCTTGGGAAAGGAAGTGATTTGGCTAAGGGCATTGAGCAAAGTAGAAGTAGAGGCAGATTTGTGCTCATTTCGTGCCTCGAGGGCACCTCCATTTGGTGGACATCAGCCTCTCTTGCTAATTCTGGTTTGTCGTGTCCTCTACAGGTCCTACAGATCTCAGCATGAAAGGTGGGGCTGCCTCCACCACCACGACCACCACCACGACCACCACCACCACCTCCTCTTCCTCCTCTTCCAGCAACAGCACCAGCCGGGGCATGGCCACCGCCCAGCTCAGCCCCACGGAGATCAGTGCAGTGCGGCAGCTCATCGCTGGCTACCGAGAGTCTGCTGCCTTTCTCCTGAGGTCTGCAGATGAACTGGAAAACCTCATATTGCAGCAAAACTGACGCCCCAGCGCCCAGAGAGCTCCTATGTCACATGACAATTTCCACCCTGGAGAAAGGGGCTGCCCCCAGCTGAGGACCTGGTGTCCTCTTTCCCCTCTAGCTGGTACATTTTATTTAAAGAAAAAAAATGGGTGGAACCTAAAAGAGCTGTTTCTACACACACTCCAAGCACCTGGGACTTTGGGCACAAGGACACTTTTTATTTGTTTTGAATCTCACCACACAGGTGCACTTACCTGCTTGGAAGAAGCCAAACGGGCAGCTTTGGAGGGGGTTTGAACTTTCTTGACAGGGAGCTTGGGAGCTGCGGCCGTATTTAGAATAACCTTCGTGGACCCTGACGTTAGAATCCCATCCCCAGATAATTACCTTTCAAGTCTTAGGTGAGCAGAATTGCATATTTATTGAGAAAAAAACAAAATGGACCCTCCTCCTCCTCCTCCTCCTCTACCCTTAGTAATTTATTTTTCTGAAAATGGATTCTTTTGTGTTTGTACAGATCGCTAGTTTGTGTCTGTCTGATCAGAAGGAATTTATTCCTATGAACTAACATTCCATATCACTACAGTGATGAGGGGTGGGCAGCAGGGCGGAGAGGCGGAACAAGGCCAGCTTCTCCTGGGCATGCCTCGTGCCACAGGGTAGAGGTTACTTACAACCTGGGCCTGGAGCTTCTGGCCCACCTATCCTGCAGTAAGCCACCATGAGGCTGAACTGCACACACTAGCTGTCATGTTTAGACTCATATACGCTCTCAATCAGACCCCACTGCTGCTACAGGAACACAGTCTCCTCCAGTCAGTAACCTCAGCACGGGCGCCACCAAGTGGAAGGACCTCACACACAGAGCAAACCCAACCCCATCCCAACCCCACTACTGTGGCAGTCCCACTTCTGCAAAACCCCCATCACATGGTCACCATCTGTCTTCTACCTCACACTCCAACGTGGGCTTTTTCCAGTATGGATGTGCCCTGAGCCTGCTCAGAATGGCTGTTCCCCAACTTTTCCCCACCCCCAATACCTTAACTATGAAGTGAATCCAAATTGGGTATCTGAGAAATGAAGGGCAGTGAGCTTCCTGTAAGTCTAAACCAGCAAATGCCAGACACCTGAGCCCCAACCCCTCCTAACTGCTGAGGCCATAGAAGACAGCCAGATGACAGCTCCTTTACAAACCTCCCCTCTCACCACCTTTCTTGGTGAGCAAAAACAAACCTTTCATTGGGGGTGTGCAAAGGAAAATAACTCGTGGCTTCCACTCTCCCTGGGAGAAAGCTTGAGGAAGGTAAGGAGAAAGTCATGCTCCTCTAGGTAGGGTGTCCGGCAACTACTTCCCTCTCCCCTCTCTGCCCAGTCGACTGGTGGATCATAAAAAGACCGTGAAGCAGATGCCACAGAATCCCTCCTGGGACCAGTTTCCCTTGGTGTGAACAGTCCAGGAAGAAACCCACAGTCCCTAGAGTGTGAAGGAAAAAAAAAAAAGAGTTGGCCTGGTTTCTTCCCTTCCTATAGGCACTTCCTTTTGCTCAGTGCAATACCTACCAGTGCTGCTAAAGCCAGGGGCTTTGCTTAGACCTCAAAGGGCCATGGCAAGGCCTCAATGCAACATGTGCAGTAGCCATAAGTGCAGCAATTGCTGCCTGCTGACCTGTGAGACTTCTAGCTCCTTTATCTCAGCGAAGGCCACCTTTACCCAGCTGAAGCAGAATGGAACCCAAGGTGACTGGCTGAGTGGAGCAGACAGCTCCCAGCAAACCACCTTGGCTCTCATATCAAGACCCCTCCCCCTCAAACCAGCTCCTCTGTAGCCTTGGTCACTCCCTCTTACAGCATTCAAGATGGTGGCAGGCTTCCCTCAGGACGGGAGGGAGGGAACTAGATCGGACTATTCCTCCTTCCAGGCACAAAAACCTGTGGCCTGGGTCTAGCCAGGAAGGCCCCTGGATGAGTGGCAAAGGACAAGGGGCAACCGAAAGATGAGGAACCCACCACTCTGCCTTTCAACCCCCCACTAAAAGTGGTATACACTGTTCCCAGGGACAGTAGGGCTCCCACATGCCATTTTAATCACACCAGTTCTGTCAAAATAAGCCCTTTCCTTGACTGATTTTTTTGGGCAGCCTAGGCCTCGTCAGGGTTGAAACAGCCAAGACAGATCCACATCACAGCACAAACTTCAGTGCCCAGAGCTTCTCCCCCTACACTTATATACTTCCCAGACCATGCACCGTTCAGATCACAGCACTCCCTAGTCCCCCCTGCCCCAACACACACACACACACACACACTCTTGACATTTGAATTTGTGTAAATATTTATTTTTGTGTGTGAACAATACTACAAAGTAACCAACAGACCTTTTGCAAAATGTTACCCCAAGCAATTTGTGAAAGTCTTAATGTTAAAAAAAATGGCTGAGACAATCGCCGCCTTAGAATTCTTGTTATCAATTGCTTACATGTTTCACCTTCTTGAGGCAGCAACCAGGCTAATCCCAGAGCTATCAGTCTCTTGACACACTATGACATAAGGAAGACATGGGGAGAGGTGCCCCTCACAAGGGACTGTATAAAGAGCAGCATTTGCTACAATTTGAAGTTGGATTTTTCTGAGTTCAAGCGTCCTAATAGATCACTTTCGGCCCTGCCTTAGTACTGTGGTAAGAGTGTAGGTTTAATAAGAACCACATGCTACTGGGAGAAGACAGGACTCTCAGGTGTAGCTGAAGGACAATAGATTCCCCACCATGTTACCATCACCTCCTAGGTTTAACCTGCACCTGGTGGGTCAGCTAGTTTTGAAGCCCTAATAATGAATGGCAGAATCTGGAGCAGGTTATTAAGTGGAAACAGGACCCCATTTCCTAGTATAGTAACAGAAATTTCTTGGGTTCTTGGTTTGCCTTTTTTTTTTTCTCTCATTTAAAAGATGCAGCTTCTTCCCCTCCCACCCCATACTCCTCACTGTCTCTTCCCAAGTACCAGCATGCTTGTTCTGGCTGTAGGCCTGAAGAACATGTTCATATCTGCCCTGGTCTCCATTCCAACTGCAGCTCTGCTCCCTAAGGCTATTTCAAAAGCCATGTCCCAAATGTCCTAAATTCTTGCTGAAGGGCCCAAGGGTTAAACTCCATTTTGGATTTTAAGAGGGAAAGGAAAAAAGGAAAAATGAACAGCAAGAATGTTTGGGATAGGTTTTGGAAGAGTAAGGAGGATAAGTGTTAATGAGGAGAGAGCTGATTGGGACTTGGGACTTTGTAGATCAAACCCATGGGGAAACCCGTGATTGTGTTTAACCCATCTGAAATTCATCTTACCTTCATACCTTGTACACATCAATTATTCAGTTCCTGAGGACAGTGTTGTAATGAGGGGGGAAAGCGTTCAGAGGATTTCCAAACAGGTGAGACCCGTCTACTCCGAATCCAAAGGGCCACTCACCACTCCAGGGGTGGCTGGTGGATTAACTACCAGTCCATTTTCAAAATGCTGCTTTGAACTCAGAGGGTTAATATACTTTTAATTTGTAATTTTTTGTAAAACTTTTTACAAGGTAGTGTAGTATTTCACCAGAATACCAGTTTCAATCCGTCCATGGTCTGATTTTTATATAATTTAGTGGTGCTTTAGAAATTTTTGGTTTTTGTTGGTTCCGAGCTCAAGAGCTCGATTCTTTGCCTGTATCTACCTAAGACCAATGTGAACCTTTGTCTTTTGGCTCCTAATTTTGGACTCAGTGAAAGTGTACTGTTTACATGTACAGATCCCCCCATCCCTGTGTGGTCTGCAAGACTCACTGTTGAGGAGGAAGATGCTCCTCACTCAACTCATCTGCTTAGTAAAGCCACAAATCTCTTCTCTTTTACCTATGTTTCCACCTAAAAGAGGAAAAAAATAATTTTTTTAAACTCACCACAATAGAACTAAGATTTGCTACAAATACTTCTGGAACTAGCAAATCATTTCCTTTTTTGCATGGATGACCCATGGTCCTTTGTGTTGTGGTTGGTCCAGCAGTGATAGTCAAAGTAAGGACACCTCTTGATCTCTTTGGTTGGTAAGTGGCATAGATGGAGAATTGTCAGCACCTAGATGGGTCTAATTCTCATGATAAAAAGATGGAAAAGCAGAGGTTATACTAGCCTTTGGGTCCAAATGGCTATAAGGGACAACCCAACAGGCCTTCACCTTCTGGCACAATACAGGTTGGTAGAACAGTATAAATCTGATACTGAGGAGATAAGAAATGAAGACTTTCAATATTTCTTCAGTACTTACTTGGGACACTTGGGGACCCAGGAGGGAATAACCACCTTTTGGGAGAGGCTCAGATAGCACGAATATGGCACTTAAGACAATAAAAGGATTCCAACTTCTAAAGGTGACACTTTACTACTTAATCAACTGTTTCACCTCGAAATTATATTTTTACAGAGATGCACCTATGCAACTTAATGTGGCTTTTTTAAGCAGATGAGGACTTCCTCCTCAATGCTCTCTATAAAAATTATTTGTGTTCTATATAGTGGGTTTTTCCAGTAAATGTGGCTTAATATTTTAATTCTTAGAATGTGTGTCTATTCTATGTGATGCAACTGAATTCTGTTTTGTTTGTGGAATGATTAGCACAGGCCAATGCCCTCCCCCTCACTTAACAAAAGACCAATGAGCTGTTAATCAAGCTGTTCTCTCCATGGTATTACTTGCTAAATGCACTGATTTCATAAGTACGTGGAATCCTTTTTCTTTGGAATCTGTATATCATATATAAGACTGAATCTACTTAATAAACACACTGTATAACAAACAGACTGCTACGTATCCTCTCTGTATCCGGTGGCCAAAGTATGCATTCACTTCCTTTCAAGCAAGCTTTCAGTACCCAAGGAAAACTACTGCTAATTCAGCCTCTGCCTGCAGCACAAGAAAGCAATAAATGAATCACTCTCAGAGCCAGAAGGAACTTCAGAGGTCCTCAAGTCCAGTCATTAATATAAAACAGGAATCACAGTCTACAATATCCTTATCATCTAAGTCTCTACTTAAAGATCTCAAAAGACAGCTTCCAGCCTCCTCAAGCAGCCCATTCCTCTACTTGACAATTCTACCTATTAAGAATCCTTTCTCAGGACGAGCCGAAAGCACCTCTGTAACAGCCTCAGTAGGCCTACCACAAGTTCTAATTCCTCTCACACACAAGGATGCTTTTAATGTGTAAAGACTAAAATTCCCAGCCCACCCTCAAACTCACTCCTGTAGGCTAAACAATCTCAGTTCCTTCACCTGATTCATTTATAACATGGTCTCTCATCCTCTTCCCATCTTGATTCCACCCATCCCCCAAAATCCACTTGTTTGTCAATAACCTTCCTAAAATGTACATGACTTGGATAAAGAACCAACAGAGGAGACTAAGAAGTGAATTAGGAGACACCAATGTCACAAAAACCCAGAGTATACAAGACAAGAAGGTCACCAACAGCACTGGGCTACTGAAGACTGAAAAAAACAGCCATTAAATCTAGCAACTGAGATCTTCTTGACTCGCCCTCACCCCACACATACAATCTGTTGCCAAGCCTTGTTTTTACCTTCACTGTCTCTAGATGAACATTTTTTTTTTTTGGTGAGGCAACTGGAGTTAAGTGACTTGCTCAGAGTCACACAGCTAGTGAGTGTTATGTGTCTGAGGCTGTATTTGAACTCAGATCCTCCTGACTTCAGTGCCGATGCTCTATCCACTTCGCCACCTAGCTGCCCCTACCTTCACATCTCTAAAAAGCTAAAAAATGACTTAAAAGTAAGTCCCCTTTCTTCATCACTTTAGTGTAGGCCCTCCTCACCTTATCCCTATTATGTAGGAACGCTGCAAGACTTCTAATAGATTTGCCTGCCTCAAGTGTCTTCTCATTCCAATCCATCCCCGACTCAGATGTCAGTGATCTCTCTGAGGTATAGGTCTGACTCTATCACTAACCTACTCAGTAAACTACAGGATTCCTTATTTGCCTCCATGCCCTTAATCTGTCTTCCTATACTGTACCCTACTCTCCTCCACTTAATTCTACAATCCAGGGACACTGACCTCACCTCCTTGTTATTCCCTCCTCACTATCTTGTAGCTCTGCCTTTTCACTGGCTGTCCTTCATGTTCTATCTCATAACTTCCTTGCAGACTCAACTCAAATCCCACCTTAGCTAGGCCTTTCCCAGTTAGGTCAGCACACATCTGCATGTCTCACCACGCACACCAACACACAGAGCTTTTCCTCTGAAATTAAAACACACACACACACACACACACACACACACACACACACACAACTGCTTTCCTCTGAGATTACCTTTCAATTCCACTGCAAAAATCTTGTCAAGTTCAAATTTTTCATGTCATCTCCATTAGAGCCTGAGTTCCTTGAAGGCAGGAACCATGTTTATTTTCTTTATAACCCAGTGCTTTGCAGTGCCTAGAACATAATAAGCACTTAATAAATGCTTATTGAAGGGCATCCAGAAAACAAAATACTCCACATGTGGTCTGGCCAAAACAGAATATAAGATTTGCTTCTCTTTAAATAATCATGGATCAGGTCCCTATAGCTACCATGGAAAGACAGTCTGAGAAACTTACAGAATAAGTTGGTTCAGTAAGCTAAGAACTCCCCAAAGGCAATCCATCAGAAAAGTACTCATCTAATGAGAAAACTATACCAAGCAAGCTCACGCCCAGATCATCTTAAAGGGAGCCTGTGCTGCTCTAATTTGCAGAATAGCACTTAACTCAGGCTGCCCCCATATCATATTCTGATCTCAATCAGAAGTCACTTATGTTGGTTACCTCGTATGGGGGTATTTTTTAATGATTTTCAGGAAATTGTTTTAAATATTATCTTAAAAAAAATTAACTGGGGATAGGGATCATGGGAATTCATAGATCCAGAGCTAGAAGGGACCTCCAGAGTTTTAATCATTCAATTACAATATAGGCAGACTTCAAGTTATGAATTAAATTTTGGGAAATCAATAACTTCTGATTCACAATTGCAAGGAGAGCTTGATGTTTAAATGAGTCCTACAGGGGATGCTTTTGCAAAGAACACAACCCCACCATGCTTCTCCAGCTTTTACATGGTTTTAAAGTAAAATCACTTGATCTAGTGCAAAGAGCTCTGGGTTGAGAGTTGGCAGACCTGAGTTCCAGTCCTAGTTATGTCTGCCATTAATTACATGACCATCAAGTTACTTTCCTTCTTTTTGCCTCACTTTCTTCCGTAATGGGGATAGGACTATTTGGTCTATTACGTCTCCTCCTAGTGATAGTATCTGGTTCTAATACGAGCAATTTGTGCCCTTTTTTGTCCAAACTTTTTTTTTGGGGGGGGGTGAGGGTGTTTGTGAGGAGGTACTCCTTTTCCTCCCTCCTCCAAGAGTAGATTCCATCTCTAGCCCTTAGGACAGTTAAAGGGAAGACCTAACACTAAGTTGGAGTTTCATTCTGGTGAAAATTTTCCAATAATAATGAGATTTACTGCTACTGGAAAAACCCAACTAGCTCCTTTTAGTAACAACTCACATTTCTGCAGCACTTTCAGTTTTAACAAAGCATCCCTGCCTCAACCTCTGAGATACAACAGATGACCTAGCAGAGGTCACTCAACTAGTTAGCATCCAGGGATTCAATCCCAGGTGGTCTGTACATTACACCATCAATCTGTCATTAATATGCTAGCTTGCAAAATAGCCAATGAAAAGCCTTTATCTTAGTTTCCTAGACATATTTTGGTTCACATATACTAGTTATCTATGCAATTTTTTAAAGAGCTTATTTCAACAGGACAAGTTATATTAAAAAGGAGTTAATGATTGCACATTTAATGCAATTAAGATCATGTTCCTTCCATACTTTTGACAAAACATTCTCCTGTGCCACGGAACAAGGTTAATTCTTCCTATTCACTGCTAACTCTTATGATTCTGCTCAACAAAACTAAAGCTGGAGTCAGAAGAATTTGGGATGACTCTAAATACAGTCACCTCTCACGGACTGGATGTCTAGATTGCCAAGCAGTCCTGACTCCAGACAAAGGATCAAAAAGTAACATTCTACCATTTAACTTGAAATACTAAGTTCCTTAGAGGTAGGGGTTGTTTCAGTTGTCTTGTATCCTAGGCACCCAGCATAGTGCATGGCATATAGTGGGCATTTAATAAATGCTTGCTGATTGATTTTGTGATACATTAGCACAGGCTAGGCCTAACAAAAAAACTTATTTGCAAGGCAGAGTTAAAAGGTAGCTCACTTCCAAGGATGTAGACTACATCAGCAATGCTCATTTTCAGTCACCACACCTAAAAATCTTAAGGTTCAGCTCCTCCACTCTTATTCTGTTCAATATACTTTAGTACACACCAATCATTTGAAATGTATCAACAATTCTCCAATTCTGATGGGCCTACTAACCATCTCCTTCTTAACTACAAGCGCAGGAGAGCACTGTGAGTTGAAGATTTTGCTTGCAATGTTAAAGACAAAATTCAGAAGGAGGAGGGTTTTACAGTTTGTGACTTGGGGCAGGGAAAGATTAGACAACAAACAGCTTACTTCTTCCTTGCTCTAAAAGTTTTTATACACACACACACACACACACCCCTAAATAAATTTCACTAATCTTCATGAATTCAATGAAGCGGAGGGTCACTACATTTTGACCATCACAAGATGTTTTTGATGGAAAACGTCCAGAAGAAAATGGAGTATTCTCACTCCTACTACCCCCAAATCAGTGAGATGTATACACTCCAAATAACAGACTACTTAGGAAGATAACTGAAACCACAAATGCAGATTTTACAGAAAGTTTATTTTTTCCAATACCACAAGGGACATACAAGAGCAGTGCTTTCTCTGGACAGCTCTGCAGACCAGACCAGTTTCAAACTGTACACTATAGTGGCCCCAAAGGACACAGCGAAGAAGGAAGAAGAAGCTCAAAACTGCTTGGGCTCTCTGCTCCCTATCTTTGGTAAACAGGCTTTTGAAATTGTCAACTTGGACTTGCCAACCCCGCATTTCAAATCATCACTTTGTTCTCTCTCATACTTCATATCACAAAGTTTTGCCACAGTGGACTGAGGGAAAGGGGGGGTGGAGGAGGTGGGGGAGAAAAGGACAGATAAATGACCCTAATTCAATGAAATGCGCTTTTGCCATACAAATTTTATACTTCTTACAGAAGCACTCTTACAGAAGGGTAAATTGAAATTAAACAGGATAGTCAAGTATGTAACAAGAAAGGATAAAAGAACTGGGCGGGGGGGTAAGAGGGGTAGAGCATGAAGACAAACAGGTGAGCCTATTCACTAAAAAATTGGCTGGGGAGGAAAACCATTATACCCTTTTATCTTCCCAATTCCACCATCCAAAGTCAGGCCAGACCAACCTACACAGCCACATTTCTAAAGATGATCAGGCTTACAGGGCTCCCTTATAGTTCATGACACCGAATTCAAACATGAGGACACTTCTTGTGCTGCCTGTGAATATATGAGGGAGCCCCACAGCAATTAATACTGTCTATGACAAAGGGCGCCTCCTTGTAAATGTTCCTGGAGATTTGCCATATGTGGCAGCAAAAAAGCCACAGTTGCAGAATTTATACCTTTAAAAAGAAGGCGCCAAGGAGCAAAATGTATGTGTTCGCCAAGGTATGGGCAGGCTGACCTTGAAATTGCACCTGAGTCTGCCCACAGTTACCTATGAGAGAGAGCCTGGTGGATCTAACAGGAAACGCCTCTTTGAGCCCACCCTC